TTTTTATAAAAAAAATTGTTTCTTTCCAGCGAGGTGCAGGTAAAAGTACACCGCATGCATGCTTGGTGGAGAATACGACATGGAACCTTATTGAGGATATTGAAAAGCTAAGGGAGCACTTGGAAATTCCAGAATGGCAGGTTGAAACTTTTCTGCTTGAGAAGTTTGGTAATTCTACTTTTTATGTCTCTTATCATAATCATTTGTAGGTTTTTGGCGGTTCATGGGGAAGCACGCTTGCTCTTGCCTATAGCCAATCACATCCGGACAAGGTTTTTCATTTCTTCTTGTTCCTACTTTTCTGTTTGAAGAGGTTATAACTCTATAATTCCAGTTCATTGAGGATAGACTTTCAATATCATTTTTGCAAGGTCATGGGCATGGTCCTGAGAGGGATTTTTCTATCGCGCCAGAAAGAAATTGATTGGTTTTATGAGGGTGGTGCAGCTACTATATTCCCTGATGGTACTTTTCCTTTTTCTCTTTTTCCCCCCCTCTTTTTTGCTTTTAAAATATGCAGGCTACACTGAATAGATGGGTTTACACTGAAAGGACCGGTCATTTGAGTTTAAATGACTGAAATTAAGGAGTTGTATAGATTAAAGTTAACGGATTACTCATAAACTCTTTTGCAATGAAATTTTAACTATATCTCCTTAGTTCTAATCAGATTAAAATGGGGTTGTTAAATCCATATTTATGTTGACAGAAATGTAAACCTATTAATCTCATTAATTGTAATCAGCTTAATCCATATTTAAGCGGACTACTTTGCAAGAAGCTAATTTTTTTTAGGTGGTAAGTCTTTTTTGAGTACTTCTAACATGTAATTTCGGACAAAACCACCAAATCCATGTTGATGGATCCAAAGTATGTATAATTGTGCAACCTTTTTCCTAGTTCTGTTAATTTTCATTATTCCTTGCACATTAGAGATGACTTGCCCTTACAAGTATGTTTGTCTGAGCTAAAAAAGTTTACTTGTAAGTAAATAAAAAACTTTTAGAATAGATAACTTTTTTGGTCAAATTTAGTAATAAGTAGGTTATTTTGACACTAAATCGAGATTTAAGAGTTACTTCTTTTTATTAAAATGAGTTACCTTTTTTTTTCTTTTTTACCTGAAAGTGAGAAAATAGTAACGAATCCAAAATTGTATAAAAAAGTAACTTTTTCTTAAATTCTACCTGACTGTTGTTTGGTAGTGAAAGTGCTTGTTAACTGGAAATTTTGGTAGAAATAAGTTATAACTGAGTAAATTGATTAAGTATTTTCTTTTTGCTCGTTGGACTTTGCTGGGGATTTACATCTAAGCAGCTGAGTGCTCATTTCTTTTCTATTGCAGCCTGGGAGCCATTTAGAGATCTTATTCCAGAAAGTGAGAGGGGGTGTTTCGTTAAGGCCTATCACAAGAGGTTAAACTCTGATGACAAGGAAACACAAGT